TTTAATTTATTTAATTGTCCAAAATTGTCCAAAGTGTCCAAACTTACTGTCCACAACTGTCCCGTGACAACACTGCTATATAGTATTACTGAGATAACTTAAAGATTAGACAGTTAGGAAAACGTCACCATATTGTATATACTAGTTTTACCAAATCTTGTATTTTGAAGAAAAAATTATATTTTTTACTGATCATTGTTGCTGTTGAAAGAGTCTGTTATATCAAGAGTTATAAGGTAGGTTTAACTCTTGGAAACTATAATTTTAATACAGTGAAACTTCTTTAAATGATCTCACGAAGACCACAAAAATGCACTTATGAGGTAAAATATATATTTGTGCCGAAATGAGAATATATTTAAAGAGGTTGCAATATATTATATAATTGCATTTGATAAATTTATTTGATTATTAACTTATATTTTGTTATTCGTTCACTTCATTAGAAAGAATTTGGATCTCAGATTTTATTTTTAGCCAGAGAGATTTAGGGTTTCGCCAAGGTTTTGTCCTTCATGACTTTCGTGAGGATTTCACCAGGGTTTTGTCCTTCATAAGGATTTTGCCAGGATTTGTCTTTTGTGAAGATTTTACCAGGGGTTTGTTCTTTGTGAGGATTTCACAAGTCTCTCGTCTTTCATCAGGAAGATTTGAGATTTCACAAGGTTTTACTTTTTGTCAAAAAATTTAGGATTTCACCAAGGTATTACCTTTCATCACGTAAAAAAAGATTCCCTCATTTTTACTAACAGCAGCTATTTATCTAATTACCAGATAATAACACCTTTGATCTCTGATGTAAAATTAGTATCTTCATTATTAATTTTATTATAGCCAGTGTTGGCATAAAAGATCAAATTAATAGTACTGGAACTTATACTGTTACAAAATCTTATTAGATACAAAGCTCCATTAAACAAAAATATTCGTATTTGTGTTTGTAACAGTAATACATTTTTATTTATAATATATAAGTCTTTATATATTATTACTAAAATAATTTTATTTTATATTAACTTAGTATGTAGAAATGAGCATTACTTCTTCAAGCTCTACTTTACAACAATATTTTATGTGTGAAATTTGTAGAAAAATGTATAGAACAAAAAGAAGGTTAAATTGGTACAAGAAAGTTGTTCAAAAATATAATATTCGTCATGATGGGTTATATATGCTTCCTTTAGAAGCAATTAATCAATTTAAGTCTACTCTTATCTATATTATAAGAAATAAGCTCAAAAAATATTTTAAACAATCAGGCAAACAAACTCTTTCTTTTCCATGTTTAGAAAGTTTATTTTTTGGCATTTTTGAAGGTTATATACATTATTTTAATTATAAAAATTGTAGTTACAAATGTTTTTTTCAGGGATCAGATACATATTCACAATTAGCTAATATTCTTAATAATCAAAATTGGGGGTGCAAATTTTTTGATGATGACCACCAAACGTTTATTTTGTTGTTTGATACATAGGCTGAAAAAAGAGAACAATATAAAAAAAGCCTTGATTACCAAAATTAACAATTGAATGGAAACTAAAGAGTTAAAAGGATACAAAAAATAACCAAGCTTTAGCCAGTTATATATATCTGAGTTTTTATATATTACAAATTTAAAGTATAAAGTTTATAAAGATTTTAAGATTCGATTAAATTGTTGCATGAATTTTATTTATTCGTGAAATTTAAAACTTTGTAATCAACTACTAATTCAGTTCATTCTAATTAATAAGTATGTATTATTAATTTAATTCAAGATAACAAGAATTTACCTCTTTAATGCTATCTTTCTATTCGTATTTAAAAACCTTTCAATACAGATCACAATGAGGTTTATAAATTTACTATATTGATATTTGATTTAACAATAACTGTAGCAGATTAAAATAAAATTCAAATTAAAATGAAATAATAATATAAAATCTCGAAAAATAAATTTTTTTGGTGGGTATTTTTTAGGGCTAGG